AAGTTTATTACTTTCTTCTTATTTTAATTTTCATTAATATTTAAATTAAAAACTCATGATGTTTTATTTTTTTTCAGTTTCTGTCTTCCTCGGGTGAGATTTCTTTCAATATACCAGAAAATGCTGTAATGTCTGATAATCATGACAAAGCTGTGTACCGTAGAGTTAGGCAAACCACAAACCAAGTTTCTCATAGTTCTAGAAGTTCAAGACATGATACCTGTGATGGCTTGGGACCGAGGTTGACTCCACAATCCACAAGTGAAGTACTGAATGAAACACCTGCTGCAACACACCCTAGTGCATCTAACAGTATATACACACAGTACTGTAATGTGATTGATTTGAGCACTGAGACTGACTTTGAAGAAAGTATGTACGCAGATGATAATTCAGAACTATTGGAAGAGGTATTGATGCAGAAAGGTAAGTAAGTTTTCACAGCTGATTATTAATTGCATGGTTTAGAATTTCCAGTGATTTACACAATTAGGGTAATATTAACCCATTTAAAAAGGATTACACTTCTAATAAAATATTATTATTCAATTTGGTAATTTTTAGAAAMGTCAAATTGCTTGCAATTACAATATTGCTAGAAACTATATAGTTTATTTTATGGGTGGATTTAAATGTGTGATCCAAACAGTATATATACCCAGCCATGTAGCATATGGTGGTGGAAAAAATATCCTCCCACCTCTCTTGAATTTCCAATTTTTTTTCACTACAAGCCTTCATTTTTCCCCCTCTGACCCACCCCTCCTCCCCTTTAGGAATTTCCAATTTCCTCCATGCATGAAGGGGTATGGATATAATATTTGGAACCACATAATTATAGTTTGAATATATGCATGCATGCATTTTAATTAATAATTTAAGTTATCAATTATTAAATTGTCGTGAGTGTCAGTAGCGAGTTATGTAATCATTATGTAATCTGAGAGTATTGAAACTTGAGAGGAGATTTTTGGGGTGTGTGAGTGTTGTGAGAGGGTCAGATGCAACGCGGAGAGAGGAGAGTATGTGATCAAACTGTGTCTCAAATAAACCGAGAAAACAACAAAATATTGTGTGTGATCTGTCACGACACAAAGTGGCGACCCTGCCAGGACACGGACTTAGGTGACTGCGAGTTTATCAAGCCAACGGATGTCAGAGATCGTGAGTTTTGAGCCGAATCAAGCCCAGRATTAATCAAGTAAACCCCGGGAGTAAACAAACATGGAGACATTGGCGAAGTTGGATAAATTCATAGAAGGCAAATTAAAGCTGTTAGCTTTCACCTCCGAAGATACAGCAAGAATTGTTCAAGAAGGGGATGTGAAAGCGATGGATAGGCAGGCGAAAGCATTGGAGAGGAGTATAGACAAAATTCACGAAATTAAACTCCAAATACAAGAGATAAAGATCGAAGGTGATTGGGAGCCAAACGAGGTTAGAAAGTGGACGGAGGAGCTCGAAGCTAAGCTTAGTAAGTATGAGAAGGAATTTAAAACTATCAAGAACGAAGTGACCGAAGTAGAGAGCAAAGAAAAGGAGAAAATCGAGCAAGAAAAACGCCAGCGTGTTTTCGAAGATGAATTGAAGCTACAGGAGGTCAAATTACAGCGTCAGTTCGAGATGGAGAAACAATACAAAGAGGTTACAGATTCCTCGTCTAAGCCAGGGAGTTTTAGCCGTGCCAAGCTACCTAAGCTGGTCATAACGCCTTTCCAGGGAACTCATCTCGACTGGATGCGGTTCTKGAGTCAATTTGAAACAGAAATCGACAAGTCAGAGGTTAGCCAAGTCACTAAGTTTTCATATCTCAAAGAGTTAATTATTCCCAAGGTCAGGGGCTTGATAGACGGTCTCCCTTACACAACAGAGGGGTATGAACGGGCCAAGAGCGTGCTGAAATCCAAATATGGGAAACCAAGTGAGGTATCAAATGCGCACATGCAGTGTATCATTTCATTGCCGGTTATTCCAGGGAATGGGCCCTCCAAAATCCATGAGTTTTATGAGAATTTGGTTGCTCATGTTCAAGTACTGGAGACTATGGGTAAACTTAAGGAGATAAACGGATATGTGAGGCTTACACTGGATAAACTTCCAGGCGTTAGAGCAGATTTAGTAAGATTAGATGATAACTGGCAAGAGTGGGGTTTTCCTCAACTAGTAGAATCCTTGCACAAGTGGTGTGAGCGCAACCCTATAACCTTCGACCGTAAGGCGCCTATCCCTACACCTGAGCACGGTTTACGGAAGTCACCTCAAAAGCGAGAAAGGGTATTTCAAACTAAGGAAGAAACGAGCAAGATTATCACATGTGTCTACTGTGAGTCGGGTCAACACAAGTCTGTAGATTGTGATCAGGTGAAAGGTGTCCAAGAGAGAAAGAAATCCTTAGCTGCAAAGAAGCTGTGCTTCAATTGTACTGGCGCAAAGCATAGAGCGGCAGATTGTCGCAGCAAGCACAAGTGCCAAAGGTGTGAGGGCAAGCATCACACGTCTATCTGCGACAAA